AAACGTTTGTCTATCCTCTTTCTCGCTGTATTTTCCAACTCCGTCGAATTTTTTGCCACCTTCTGTAAGCCAATTTTTTACAAAAAAATTATAAATTTTAGGTTTTTATGGCTTCATCTTGGGTGATTTCTCCAAATTCCCACGGTTTCTTCGAAAAAATCGCTTCCGATTCGAGTGCAATTTCTGCGCTCGTTTCTCTCTATGGACAATGTATGGAGCATCATAAAGTCAGTTTCTCATTAAAAATCCAAATTTTGGCCCATATAAATCAAATATTTAATTAATAATATGCTTAGAAACGGATTAAACTACGAATGATCGTTTACTGTATGGAGAATATCGATGAGAAGTACTGGGTACCATTTAAAACCCTGCTAGAAGTTCGAAGCAGTCTGACTCCCGGCCACCCTCTTCCAGGTAAGTAATAATTTTGTTTATCATGTCATGAAATGCTTCTGATGAATAAGTCACTTTCAGCTACGAAGACGCAATACATCGCGCATATAGACGGGTCCAGGCTCTCGGCTCAAAATGCTGATGAGGGAAGGTTTTTTGAACTCGGCCGGGTATTGCCACATATGACACCTAATTTGATAGAAAATTGAAAGTAACTATGAGTCTTTAATATCCGTTTTTGCCAAAGAGCTTTCCTTAAAAAGATATGCCGCTTTTAAAGTAGGTTTTGATGCTTCGCTTTTTCTAAACAAGCTGGCAAGATTTGTTTTTGAAAAATCAATCGGGAAATATCTGGATGTGAAAAAAATTGCGCAAAATGGACTTTGAAAGTGTTATATCCTCTTAAGGAAAGCTCTGCGGCCTTAAAGACTCATATTTATTTTCAATTCTCTATCGAATGGTGTATTATATGTAGCGAAACCCGGTCGAGTTCAAAAAACCTTCCCACGTCAGCGTAGAGATTCTCAGAGGCGCTACCGCGAACTGGGCAATATGGTGCGGCTCCTCAGGCACCGGCTACTCCCTCCCAGAATGCCAGCTAAAGATAGGTATAAAGAATACAATATAAAGATAGCCATCAAACGGTGCGTTTTGGTACCGTTTTTTACTCCTTTCTTTTTCTTTAGACGCCATTTTTTTTCAAAAAACGATTCGAATTCGGGGCGAGTTCTACTAGTTTCCCGGGGGTGCATTCCAGCAAATGCTGGGAGATGACATGCCCCGGGATGGGATTGAATTAATCAGTAAAGGTGGGCATTAGTCTTTTATCCTTAGCTTCTTTTATCATAGGAGGCCAAGGGGCCGTTTATAAATGGGCCCGCCCGTCCGGTGGACCCATTGCCTTCAAGCTCGTCGACCTCAGCGGAAACGTGGCAGGGCGTTTTCGGGAGCTTCAAAATGAGGTTAGGGACCCGATTCTCTCAATACTACCGTAATATAGCTGGAAATATGCGAGACGCTAAGAGGTGCTCGCTTGGAAAGAAATGTCGTGCTTTTGAGCGGTATCCCTGCCTTTTATATATTATTATTATTTTGAGACATGATATACTTCCATCAGCCCCAGTTTTGCCTGGTTTCTATGGAGCTTGTCCAGGGCCGCGACCTGACTCATTACACGTGTAAGTTAATGATTTCGGGTAGCATTACCTCCTCTCTTTCTCAGACAACTCCGGGGGGCTCGAGATGGAGGAGCTAGTCCATATCTACCGGCAGGTAGCGGACGTCCTCCATAGCATGCACCGAACGGGTATTGTTCACCTCGACATTAAGCAGGCCCGTAGGAGGGGGGGCCCAGGGGGCCCTGGGCCCCCGAAATCGGTCGAGGTCCGAAAAATTCATAAGGGGGGACCCTTATGAGTTTTAGTTACAAAAATTTTTCTGCCTGCGGCGCTGTTTATTACTGTTTTTCAAACAGTTTTTACTTATATTAAACCTATTCTTTCAAAAATTTTTGCCTGCGGCGCTGGTTTTTCCTTGGTGAATCAATTGTTCATAAAAATTTTGGCCTGCGGCGCGTTTTCTGCCGTGTTTTCACACGAATTTGAGTGTAGCGAACGCTTTTTTGCGATTTTTTTTGCCTGCGGCGCTATTATTGACTATTGACGCGATTTTCGGATGTTTTAAAAGTGACGACCGGGGGGGAGGTCGCCAAAATTTTTGGGCCCCCCGTAATTTCGGTTCCGCTACGGGCCTGACATTAAGCCAGACAACATTTTGCTGGAAAATATGTCAGGTAAAAAATTCAAAGTTGGATTTCATGCTTGATTAGGTGTCGCGAAAATCTGCGACACGGGCCTTGCGACAAGGCGCCCACCGAGAGGAGTCCGTAACCGCACCTACGCACTAATCTATTAATTCAATTATTTCTAGCAAAAAAAACACACTTAAAACGCAAGAAAGAAAAGAAAAAGAAAAGTTTTAGGTGTATAGTTTTCTGATTTTGTCAACGGCACCTGATTTTGCCAAAGACCTAGAATGTGAAAAATTGCTGAAACAAAAGTTTCCTTCGAGCGTTGATTTTGTAATACATTTTGAAGTCGGTACGATAGAGGGGCCTGAGCTGGGTCAGGGCTTGATTTTTGACTATAACAAAATTGTTTCGTTTGTTTTTGGCTATCCGACTTCTGCAATGTTTAGATAGGTCTTAATCAAGCTAGAATCGAGAATCCTGAGACGGTGCAACCTTTAGGCCAATCTCTTTGATTTATTGTTTTATAGGAGGGCAAGTGGAGGTTTTCAAATGGATGCGCACTAATGGAAATGTCCTCGCGATCAAAAAAATTAAGCTCAGAGGAGATGTGGCAGGTCATATGGATGACATCAACAACTAGGTTAGGGAGAATTTCTATTGCTTTAACACAATTTAGCTCAAAATATGTGCTCATCTTAGGCACTTAGGCATTCAAATTTGGACAAAAGAGTGGTACTTTTATCAGGTATTTGAACCAAACAAACCTGTCAAACTAATGATTTTTCAAGATAGCTTCCTTTTACGCGACGTCGATATCTGTTTAGTATCCATGCCATACATCAATGGAATGGATTTAACGCATTTCAAATGTAAGTTGTATATTCATGTTTGACCGTTTTTCTACTCAGACGGCGATGGTGGACTGGAGCTCTCGGAGCTGGCACACATCTACCGACAAGTGGGTATTGCTCTGGATATGATGCACAACGCCGGAGTTGTGCATCTCGACATAAAGCCGGGTAATATCCTGCTGTTCAAAGAAACAGGTATGTGAATAGAATCATACACTAATGACAAAATTTCCCCGAAGCCGATTTCATTTCGAAGCTAAAATCTCGTAGGCTCCCGCTAGGCATCGAATTCGTCGATAGAGGCGTGTATTGATTTATTTTCTTTTGATGTGTTTTTTCATAGGAGGCCAGGGAGAGGTTTTCCGTTACAAAATCGTTAAAAAATCAATGTAAAGGACGACCAGCATATGAGAGACATATCCATTGAGGTTATATGAGCTTCAGGTTTTAACTGAAGTTTCAACGCTTTAGCATGCATTTTTCTACCCACTAATCCATTAATTCAATTATTTCTAGCAAAAAAAAAACACACACTTAAAACGCAAGAAAGTGCGACGGATTTAACCATGGGAGACTTTTTGCGTTTCCCGCGGAAGACTTTCATAAAATGGTGCTAGGCGACATTGAAAGTGATGCATTCATATACCTTGCCGGAGGTAGTTCAGCCTCTATTTCACGCATTCAATTATTTCTAGCAAAAAAAATACTATGGCGAATCTACTTCTGGGAGACTTTCTGCGATTCCCGCACAAAGTTTTCGAAAAAAGGTGCGAGGAGAGGGGGACACCGGCGAGTTCACCCACGTCGCCGGAGGTAGTTTTTTTTTTTGGATAGTTGATATTGATTTGTCATAGGTGGCCAGGGTACGGTCTATAAATGGGAGCGGGAAGCTCCACTACCTACACTGGCCATTAAGCTTATGATTCTCTCCCGCGACCCTGAAATACGGGCCAGGGAGGCGAAGAGGGTCCGGACGGAGGTTTTTTTATGAGCACATAACTCTAAAATTGGATTTTCTAGCTTCGAATTTGCGACCACCTGAGGGGCCAGTGCGAATATGTGGTCGTCATCAGAGGTTAGTCTATCGTTCTAAAATGCTTATTTTTTTATATGTATAGACGGCATTTACATGAAAGAGCAGGGACGCTTTATTTTGTCGATGGACATGTTCCCCGGCGTCGACCCAAAGTAAGCTACTAAAGGTATCAAGAAGACCCAGTAGATTTGGGATCATCTATATTTGGCAATGATCCAACCGGAAATGTTGATGCCAAAAAGAACTGAGGAGAGAGGGGCCGAGGCAGGAGGGAGCAGAGAAACTCGTGCTAATTTTAAAACACTAAAGTCCCCCCCGCGCAGTAGTTTTGGAGATAATTTTTGAGGGTCGGCCACTTTGACTCCAATTTTAACCCCAAAAATTAACTTTTTAAACTTTTAGTTAGGATTTTAGTTACGATCTTCTTTTACCTTTGATCGGGAATATCGTATAATATTTTTTACCTTTTTACAGCAAATTTGCGACTATTTGAATATGTCTGATCGTGACATCAAGCCGCCTCTACGCGATTGGGGGCACTGGACTACAGTTTCCGTAAATTGGGCCGAAGTGGAGGAGAAACCATGACGGGGAATGTAGCAGGTCGCATGGCCGACATTCGCAATGAGGTTTTTTTCACCTTCTTTCTATTTACGCAAATATAGCTGGATATTTGTGCGCATCTAAGGGATTCGCTTTTGGGCAGAAGCATGGTCCTCCTCACCGGTAACTTGTATTTCCGTATCTGATGAGATTTACTATTTTCAAGATATGATCGTTCTAAATGCCCCTCAAGTATGCTTAGTCGCAATGGAGCACGTTCCCGGGCGTGATATGACACATTTCCTATGTAAGTTGCTCATTCCTGACTGTATGACGCCCTTTTTTTATTTTAGACGGCGATGGCGGACTAGAACTATCGGAACTGTCACACATATATCGTCAAGTGGCTAATGGCCTAAACAAAATGCACCATGCCGGAGTAGTTCACCTCGATATCAAGCCGGACAACATCCTTCTGAACAACCATACAGGTACGTGAATCGATTTGAGAAGCACTAATGATCGATTAGGTGTTGCAAAAATATGTGATACCGGATTGGCGACATGGTTGGTTCGTGGACAGATGGATGGATGTTGCGGTACTGATGCCTACATGGCACCAGAGGTGCGTGCGCGGTCGTACGACGGCCGACTTGCCGACGCGTGGTCGCTTGGTGCGGCTTTATATTTTAACCTGACTGGAATGCCTCCGTGCGAATCTCCTGTAATGTAAGTGTAGATCTACAATCGTAAAAATTTGATGATTAGGGCCGATGATGGCTACAGGCAGATAATTCGAGTAGTATATAAAGCCGGACAATATATTACTAGATAGCGAGACAGGTATGTGAAACTATTCGGGCATTAACGATCGGTTAGGGGATGTCAAAATCTGTGACACTGGGCTATCAGCATAGGCAACGCACGGCCCCATGTCGAGATTCGGTGGTACGGATTGGTATATGGCACCTGAAATACATCTGGGATCATACGATGGAAGGCTTGCCGATTCATGGAGCCTGGGCGCGAGCATTTACCACACAGTAACTGGACGTCCGCCGTGTGAGAATGCAGTAATGTAAGAACCTCACAACCATCTATTCTCATTGATTTACAGGTCCGATGCCAACTTCAGGCTGATAATAAGGAGCCAGGCACTGCCGATATATGTGGAACCAATAGTGCGAGGTATGCAGAAAATCAATTGCTAAAAAAGACAATGATTAGAACCCCTGCTTAATTTATTGGTGCTGGAGGATCTGAGATGGACTGTTACAGAACTGGCTGAGTCAGATTTTTTCAGTAAGTTTTCTCATACACTTGCTTTTTTTGAAAGACTCATATATTAGTCATACGTACAATCTAATTACAGGACTATACCACAAAATCTCCCCGCCACGATTCCCGATCGACGAATGTATTGTGTCTTCTGATGATGAGTACTAGAATGCCCAACAAAGTCTGGGTATTGATTTTGTGTGTGGTTTTTTTTGTTGGGGACCACCCCTCTCTCTATCTCTCTTTGATTGTCTCTCTCTAGCTCTTTACCTTTTCTCTCTCTCCACATCCGTTCTTACGTCTCTCTCTTTCACACCGTTTTTTGTCTGAAGGAAGTTGAAGCCAAAGATTGTCTGTATGATAATTTCGACTGTAAAATGTGTTTTTTTCTGTGATTTGATTGGCGCTCAGATCAAATAATAAACTTGTTTATTCAGACATTTAGTTAACAGGATATAAAGAAAAAAGAGGATTTCCATTAGTGCGCAGTTGGCTGTGTAGTTGAGCCGTTTCCTGGGAATCGTTGGGCAATGTTGTTGACTTGGCACGCTTCGCATATCATCACCTTGAAGATGCAACTCGTCTCCTTGCCAAGGCTGGTGGTAGTGCGAAGACAGGGCTTGCAGAGGGAGATTTTCAGCATGGGATTTTGATGATCGCGGGGTCCAATAGAGCAGACAAACTGCTTCTGGGTCATCGGGCGTACGGTACCGTCGGTCGGAGCGAGGAAAGGAGTAATTGAAGACATCGTCGTTTGTTGTGTAGCTTTGGTTGAATGATAAAATGAGGAAAATTCTGGCTTATATAGCCTCAAAAAAATCGAGCTTCATTGGGCTCTCTCAATTTGACGCACTATTTTTTAATAATAAACCACGCCCCCGCACCGCTAGAGCAGTATAAGATGGAGCATTTTGCACCGGTTTTTTCATACATCAACATGACCTACTACAACGACGATATCTTCGACTACGAGGCTTGGCTGAAACTTGTCGCTGACCTCGGCTACCCGGAAGGACAACCATCCCCACAATACGACTCGGATTCTGAATCTTACAGTACCGACGAATGGGAGTCTGTCTGTGATCCTACGGACGACTCTGGATACGCAACTGACCGTGAATCCGACGTCGAAATGGCCGCTGACTACGGAGAGGAGCAAGACGAGGCGGTGCTTTACCAAAACCAAATGCAATGGTATTCGGTATACCCAAGACAGGATTCAGACGATGAATCCCCTGACTTTTGAGTGACTTTTTCTTTCAGTTTCCCCCCCCCCCCCCCCCCCCCCCCCCCCCCCCCCCCCCCCCCCCCCCCCCCCCCCCCCCCCCCCCCCCCCCCCCCCCCCCCCCCCCCCCCCCCCCCCCCCCCCCCCCCCCCCCCCCCCCCCCCCCCCCCCCCCCCCCCCCCCCCCCCCCCCCCCCCCCCCCCCCCCCCCCCCCCCCCCCCCCCCCCCCCCCCCTCCCTCTCTCCTCTCTCTCTCTCTTTCTCTCTCTCTCTCTCTTTCTTTTTTCTCTGTGTCTCAACAATTTTCCCCATCTCTCGACAGTTTGCAATTTGACAGTTTGTACTTGTTTTCTTTTGTGTTTTCCAGTTAACGTGTTTATCGGTTTTCAATAAAAAAGTTTCAGATACAACAAAGCGCGACTATGAATTACGACTACGACTACGACTACTTTTCCCATCTGATATGGGCCTGGAACAATTTTGTTTCCAATCAAGCAGCAGGTAAATTCTCTCTATCGCAAATATCTAATCATATCTTTCTAGCTGCTGCACTAATGAATCCTGGAGGCGCACCCAATGTCATACCGGTGAGCAGATGTAAATGACCCCTAAAAGTACGTTCTTAGGTGCCGGGTGTACCCCAACCCCCTCTCCCACCTCCGCCTCCGCCACCTCCGCCTCCACCACCTCCGCCTCCGCCACCTCCGCCTCCGCCACCTCCGCCTACACCACCTACGACACCACTGCCTTCTGATCACGATGAAAAGCCGAAACGAAAGGTAGTTCAAGCTGAAGCCAACGAATTCAAACCGCCGTTTTTTTAGCGAAAACTCAAAGATTCAGACAGCAGTTCCCGAAAACGTGCCAGAGAAGAAGCTTCAGAGATTGAAGTGGTAAGTTAGCTTCCCCGAGACTCTAATGACTTCTTTCAGGAAAGGCATGTTATCTACGGAGGTGCTGCTAATGACGTTGACGTTGAGGAAGATGAGATTCTCAACGATAATGCGGGACTCAACTCAATGTTTGACGGTAATACCGAAACATAATATTTTCATAGAACGCTTTTTTTTTTAGAACACGCAATTGCCCCGGACGTTCTCGACGGGATAAAAAGAAACTAGACGGAAAAGGTAGGGCATTGTCTCACAGCCATTGACGGTTTTTTTTCATAGATTTTCGACTGCAACTCTCAAAGACGAGAGCACGAGGACTTAGAATGGATCAAGCGACAGCAACTGTCGATATCGATCCGACTACAGCGCCTGACAACTTCCTGCCGGTCCTCCAGGAAGCCATGGATCGTCTGTTTGACACTGTCGGCAACACCAGCGTGAGCACCTACTTGCATAGTCAGAAACAAGCATTTTTTCAGGACGAACGAACGTATTCGACAATCCTAAAGTGCCAGACACTTGACGAAGAAGGGCGCAATGAAGACCGATGGGTTGCCTATCTTCCACCACGACTCAGGCCCCAGATCACAGCGGTAGCGCTTGCAGATGTCCTTCAGAGCAAGGTACACAGCTCACACAGGATCAAGAACATGACACGATTCACGCTCCAGGTAAGTTTTTTTTGAGTTCATGCAGCACCACCCTCAAATTTCAGCTGGACGGCTATGAAGTGCGAAAAGGAGGAGCAGGAATCATGGATTGGACTGGAAAACTTGCCGTTTTCTACCCAGCAGACCTTCAGAATGCGTGCTTCCCCATGAGCGTCTACCTTCTCGTGGAATTGGCCAAGATCATGGACTTCAGTGCCACACTAATCAGAGGAAGAAAAGGAATCAAGGGGAGGTATGGGCATATTAGGCTACCAAGACTGTGTTTTTTCAGAGGAAAGCAGCGAGAATGGACTGAACTCAAGGAAAGCCTTATCCGAGAGTTTGACGGGGCCTTCCACCAAGACCCGGACACAATCGTGAAAGCTCAAGACCTTTTGAGAAGCCTATGGCCCGGATACATAGCCGGACAGATGGTATCCCTGCCTGAAGCCGCCCAAGTCCTCAAGGAGGTCAACCGACGGAAGCTTGGGAGGATCTACATGTTCGACAAGGCGTAAGTGTCCAGCATATGATAAAAAATAACACAATTTTTAGGGGCAAAAAGCTTGGATGTACGCCTGCCTACAACAATGTTGATGGCCGTGTCCTGACGATGGTGTACGAAGAACAGAATGAGCACTTCAAGCCGGTCACTAAGGCACCTTCGGCCGTTACGTGGATTCGTCAATCTCCCTACGACATCGACGAGGTCTTTGCGTACAAAAAGCAGTGCGATGGATGTGGAGTCTACTACAACGAGAACTACCACAAAAAGTAAGGCGTTTCTTTCGGTTTAATTCCAAAATTTAGATGTGAATGGCGCTGCCTGAGATGCCAAACAACAGGGAAGACCTGTGAGAATGAGCCTGGCGTCCGGACAAGATGCACGACGTGCAATGTCTGCTTCCAGAACCAGACGTGCTACGACAACCACTTCAGGAATCGTGTGTGTGGAAAGCGCTTCTTCTGCTTGAAGTGTGACTACTACTACGATGCCACGAGAGATGGCATGAAGGCACATGTGTGTGGACAGTAAGTGAAAAATAATCAGTACTCTTACGTCGATTTTAGGCGCTTTTGCCAGACATGTATGAAAATGCAGCCCATCAAGCACGACTGTATCTTTGCTCAGTCACATAACAAGCCTGCAACTCGTTACAAGTCTCAGCGTTACACGTGAGTTCATCATTTTCAGAAAATACATCACAATTTTCAGCATAATCGTCCTCGACTTTGAAACAGAGGTCGTCAAATACGTCAACTGCGAGATGATCGACATCCCACACAAGGCAACGCACTGCTACATGCGACAAATGTGCGAGGAATGCACTCCTGATGAGTAAGTGTACTTTGCAAAACTGCCACTCTCCATCTTTCAGACTCTGGGCCGGCGAGAAAATCAAAGGAGGTCGCCTCGAGCGATACGACCACGAACTTGTCGAAGAATCCGACGAAGATGAAGAATCTGACGATCAACAGCAACGCCCAAAGAAGCTGAAAGATCGGTGGATAGTGCGCAGGCCCCAAGGGGAGTGCCGAGGACAGTGCTTCGAAAAAAGGTATTTTTACAGCAATTTTCCAGTTTCACACACTTTCAGGTTCTCGAATCTCGACGAACACGGCGTCTGGCACGAGGGCAAGGTCGTTGAGGATGTCGTCGACTTTTTGCTTTTCGAGAAGCACGACAAGAAGCAGGAGAAGATCGTCCTCGCCCATAACGGAGGTATTTTTTGAGTACCCTTGATCGTGCAATGTGTTTTTTTCAGGAGGGTACGATTGGGTTCTCCTACTCCCGGCTCTGATGGCTCGAAAAATCCCCTACACACCGCTAATGCGAGGGTCCCGCATCGTGGAAATGAAGATCGCCGGCCGCCCAAGCGACTGCAAGCAGAATCGCCGACGAGCAGTTCAACGCCGGCCTCCGGCCCCACATGAGCGTCGCCGCAACAAGGTAAGTTTTTTGGTTTTACGTACACCATCCCTCAAATTTCAGCTCCGCTTCATGGACACGTATCGGTTCATTCCGATCGCCCTGGGCAAGTTCGCCGACGTGTTCCGGCTCAATGAAGAGAAGGGTGTCTTTCCAGTGTTTGCAAACTGCGAATACTGGCGTCAACCAGGCCCTCGAGGCTGGCCGTCCGAAGAATGGTTCCCGGTTCGCACAGAAGGGCAGCTGAAGAAGGTCAGTTCATCCCCAAGAAATACAAACGAGCTCATGGTTTTAGGTACGAGAAACGCTTGTCGAGAAGACCGGACAAACTTTCAACCTTGAAGAAGAAATCTGGAAGTACTGCGAGTCAGATGTGAACGTGCTGCTGATGGGTGTGATGCTCTTCAGGAAGAACCACGTGGAACGAGGCGGATTCTGCCCGTTCTCCTCGTGTTCAACGCTGGCGTC